TATATATATACTCTTTCACTATATATATATATATATATATATATATATATATATATATATATATATATATATATATATATATATATATATATATATATATATATATATATATATATATATATATATATATATATATATATATATATATATATATATATATATATATATATATATATATATATATAATAATTTCGCTTTCCTCAAAATACCGCAACAGTCTGCTTCATCTGTAAAGAATCATCGAGCGGTATGACAAGTTTCAAAAAAGGGCTACTTATATGTGTTTTTGCCAGAACGTGGGAGTGGGTGGGTTAACAAAGCATATATTCAATCTATTGTTTGCGTTGTTTACGCGGAAATTCCTAATCGAAGAGTGGGAGTTTGTGGATTACTAAGTATTGTTTGCGTTGTTTTCCTTGACACTGTGAAGCAAGACCTGGTTTGTACAATCGTTTAAAGAACAATCCAGTGATATACGCATGGGAATGCTCTGGTGAAGTTTAAAGATGCAATACTTTCAAGCCAAAACATTAGAACAACCATCCCTTGTGGATTGTGTGTCATTACCGAGCTGTACAAGGACGGTATATTTTTTCCCCTTTTCAAGTGGGCACTGAATGCAAGAATTTGGTAGACTATCACCAAAGTGATTTCGTATTTACCTTAGTTACTTTTTTCTCGACATTATGTGATTTTAATTATTTGAGCAGATATATAACCGCCTGCAAATCATGCCCTAGAAGTTATAGAGCATATATTTATGACTCTGGAGCCATTATCCATTATCCACTTTTCAGTCCCCAATTCAATCCATGCAGAATTTTGGGAATTCCAATGAAAATATAGTTTCTCCCATTTTGAAGAGGAATTGAATATATTTCAAAACCTTTCTAATTTACAGATTTTCGATATCGTTCTTCATTGTATAAAAGATATTACAACAAATCATAGTGCATTCCGCCATTTTGCATAGGCATATCCATCGTTGGAATATATATATATATATATATATATATATATATATATATATATATATATATATATATATATATATATATATATATATATATATATATATAT